GGGTGTTGCTCCTGCCTCAGTTTCCCCAGTCGTGGGGGGGCTCGTTCCCCCCCCAGGGGGTCACTGGTCCGACTGGGCCGTACTGGGAGGCCCTGGGCACAAAGGCTGAGCTCCCGGGGACAGCGGCCAGCGACACCCCGGACACGGTGAGGGGGGGCCGGGACATGTGCGGTGGCCTTGGTCCCTTTTGGGGTCCCCCCTGTCCCCTCCCATTCCTCGGAGTCCCTTTGGTGGTCCCCTGTCCCCTGTCCCTTTGGGGGTGTCCTCTGTCCCTTTGGGGTGTCCCAGGGGAGTCTTGGGGGCTTCTTGGGGACTTCTGGGGGATCTCGGGGGGATCTCTGGGGGATTTGGGGTCCCTGGGGGGTTCTGGGAGTGCCTGGTGGGGTTTTGGGGTCCCCTGGGGGGGATCTGGGGAGGTTTTGGGAAATTTTGAGGATTTTTCTGCCCCCCCAGATCCGGCTGAGCTTTGAGGACCTGCCAGGACCTGAGCCCAGAGCGCCTGGAGGCACCCGAAAGGCACAGCTGCACCCCAAAACTGCACAGCTGCACCCCAAAATGCAGACCTAGACCCCCAAAATGCACAGCTGGACCCCAAAATCGTATAAAGCTCCCCATAAACCCTGAACCCCCAAACCTGGAGATACCTGAAGTACACCTGAACCCCAGGGCGTTTGGGGGGCCCCAGGGCTGTGACCCTGGTTTTCAGGTTTTGGGGTGTCCCAGGGCTGTGACTCCCCTGTTTTAATCTCCCCATGTGAAATCCCCCCCACTTTGTCCCCAATTGGAGGTCCCCAAAACCAGGGGGGGCCCCCAAAACCCCCTGGGGGGGGAGCCAGCCCCCCCAAGGCTTCGTTGCAAACGGGTTTGAGAAGAATCAATAAAGTTTGGGATAAAAATCGGGTTTGGAAATTTTGGGGTCCTCCTGAAGTGGGGGGACCCCAGTGGGCTTGGGGGTGTCCATGACTTTGGGGGGCCCTGGAATTGGGGTGACCTATGGGTTTGGGGGGGCCCTGGTGGGTTTGGGGTGACCCCAGTGGGTCAGGGGGGCTCATGGTGGGGAGACTCCATGAGGTTGGTGGGATCCCTTGGAATTGGAGGGAATCCATGATTTTGGGGGTCACCCCATGGATTTGGGGTGGCTTCATGGGTTTGGGGTGTCCCTGCTTCAGGGGGGTCTTTGGTTTGGGGGGTCCTGGAATCAGGGGCATCCCATGGGGTCAGGGGGGCTCCATGGGTTTGGGGTGACCCCATGGGTTTGGGGTGACCCCAATGAGTTTAGGGGGGGCTCCATGGGTTTGGGGTGACCTATGGTTTTAGGGGGGTCTCCATGGGTTTGGGGTGACCCCATGGGTTTGGGGTGACCCCATGGCTTTAGGGGGGGCTCCATACGTTTGGGGTGACCCCAATGGGTTTGGGGGGTCTCCATGGTTTCGGGGTGACCCCATGGCTTTGGGGTGACCCCAATGGATTTGGGGGGTCTCCATGGTTTCGGGGTGACCCCATGGCTTTAGGGTGACCCCAATGGATTTGGGGTCTCCATGGTTTTGGGGTGACCCCATGGCTTTGGGGTGACCCCAATGGATTTGGGGGGTCTCCATGGTTTCTAGGTGACCCCCATGGATTTGGGGGTCTCCATGGTTTCGGGGTGACCCCATGGCTTTAGGGTGACCCCAATGGATTTCGGGGGGCTCCATGGTTTCGGGGTGACCCCAATGGATTTGGGGGGGCTCCATGGGCTCAGGGGGTCCATGCTATTGGGGGGCTCCCCATTTTGGGGGGCAGGGGACCCGGCGGTGGGCGTGGCCTCTAGAGAAGGCGTGGTCTCCCGAGGGGGCGTGGCCTTTGTTCGTAGGCGTGGTTTCGATCGATGGGCGTGTCTTAATCGCAGAGGGGGCGGGGCCGACGGGCGCGACTCCCAGAGCCAGGGGCGTGGCTTCGCTGGGTGGGCGTGGCTTATCGGCGCGGTGGGCGTGGCTT